ACCGGAACCGGTTCCCGGCGGTTCCGGTTCCGGTTCCAAAAATTCAAGAACCGCTCTAACCGGTTCCGGTTCCGGTTCCAATATTTCAAGAACCGCCGGTTCCGGTTCCGGTTCCTATCAAAAAAGGCGGGTACCCGCCTATGCTCACCCCTACCTATTACTGGATGAGCTTTGAGAATACATGTTGTTATACATGTGATTGTACAAGAATATTGTTTTGGAATTTTTGAGTTGTAAATTATGTAATATAAGTTTTTTTGTACAGGTGGAACCAATGTGATGTAATTGTATCTCTCTTATATGAAATACATGTTTATATGCAAATGTGGAAAATGGGGTATTACAACAAGCAATCGAGTGACCTTGGTAAAACTATGAAAAGTGTATTCTCTCTCCATTTGTCTTCTTGCTAATATTTTACCATGTGGAAGATGTTTGCTTATAAATACTAATGAAACCCTAGAAGATCAATAGGCATAAAATAGAGCTCAAAGCTATTTTACCATATCGTTGACATTCATTACTGATTACGTATTGTCTCCTTGTAACTTCAGTTTCTAAGCCTAACAGGCCGAATGAACATAAACGAAGGACTTGTTCATGTTTGTTTATTTAACTTAACTGAACAAACAAACGACCACGCACAGTAAACGAACAAAAACTTTGGTCTTCATGTCCGTTCGTTTAGAAAATGGGCGTGTGTTCATGTTCGTTCATATCCGTTCATTAAAATGCTAAACAAACGTACTTAAATGAACACAAGGTGCACCCGCTTTCATGGGGTGCTCCAATCGAACCCTTCATATGGAGACATAAGAACCGTTATAATACAATTACACCCGTCATTTCTTTATGCGTTATGTCAAAACCGATGATCGATACCATAATTAACTGAGGTGACCAAAAAGTATAATGAAACAAACATATATATTATTGAAGAATGAATGTTGGGATTTTGGTCACTGAAGACCATAAACAAGCAATGCCCCAACACCAGCAAGACCAGCTACAAGTCCAATGATGACACCGATCGGAGGCAATGTTCCACCGATAGGTTTTCCGGTCTCTGGATCATACCCCGTGAACCTCTTCTTCGGTGCTCTACACTGGGGGCACAAGTACTCATCCGGCTGCACATTTACAAACAAAACCACCATTTGTTGTTACTTAACGCTTTTTTTTTGTTTTTGGTAAACAAGGATTTTAGCGCTTGCCTGCTCCTCGAAAGGCTTTGACAGCGTATAAATGAATCCACAGTCGAGACAAATATGAGTTGCTCGAGCCTGAAACGATAAAAGATTACGCAGCAAGAAAAGTTACGTTCGAAAGATGCAATAGATCAAACAAAAAGATAAAACGGACCTTTTGAGTGTCGGTTAATTTGCGTCCAAAACGAGGAGGAGCAGGTCGTTTTGGTAGTCGTTTGACGTCAATGAAAGCCCCCCTGCACCAGATTTACACCCTTTTCAACAAATTGAAATACCATGTTTCTTGATCAAATTCGCATTTTTTTCTCAATCAATTTTTGAGCTTATTGAAAACGCCGTCTTAATGAATCAGCCATAAACTAGTCTTTTTCTTTCTTATTAAAGCTACTTCAGTTCATTTTTAGCAAAAGCAAGAAAGAAAACCTGTTAACAACAAAATAAACAGAATCAGGCTTAGCCTGGATGGCTGTTTTGGTAAAGCCAAGCTTGTCAGCTGGCCAAAGTTCATCCCCAAAGAAGCTGCTTGTGTATATGACTTGATCCCCTGTCTTCAAACCAGCCTTTGCAGCATTACCACCTCCATCCACTGCCTGAACAGTTCAAAAACAACACTCATTGGAGCATCATAATAAATGGAAAAATACATAAAAGAAAGACAGAAAGAGAGAGGAAACTGACAGTGATTACAACACCACCACCTTCACCAGGTTTAGGACCCAAAGTGAGTCCTAAAGGCTTATCTACTTCAACCTCAATCTGCTTTGAAGTCCCAGCAGTTTTTCTTGCTTTGATTATGGCTAACCCTCCTCCTCCTCCTCCTCCACTTTTTCTGATAGCCAGGCTACTGGTCTTTTGGGTGAAACAATTTCTTTTGGCATCTTGAATGGATACTCCTTGAAATGGGGTTTTCTGATTGCAAAAACAAGAGAGTCTTAATTCAGGTTCAGACCAGTTTCAGGTTCAGGTTCAGAAGGAATGGTGGAAAGTACCTGAGGAGGTGGGATAGTTTTGATTCTTGTGGCGAAACCTCCACCTGCACCTACTGCTGTTGTCGACATTTTCTTGTTACAAACTCAGTAAACAGCTTGTTTCTTGATAAGCAGTAGCTGTGTGGATGCGATAGGTCCCCATCACCCCCCAACCCCACCAGATAACTTCCGCTTCTCGCCACACGCTCTAAATCCTTTCCAAATCCAATTTTCTATCATTCTTCTTTTTTTAAAATTTTAAAGTGATTATGGCAACTTTTAAATGCTTACCCGGTAAATTATTGTATATAATATTGTTTCGATGGACTACAAATTCATCCAATAAAGTAAGGTGGCGTTTGGTTCGCAGATTCTGGAGAATTCTGAAGAAATTGGAATGTTGAATTCCTTTGACCAGATTCTTTTCATTCGTTTGGTTCATTCTTTTCAGCGAAAGGAATCTTCAGATTCGTATGAATTCTATGGATAAAGAATTTTAACATTCCTTAGCAACTACATGGATTTTGATGGAATGGAATCTCTATCTTCATTATACCAAATATGCCCTTAACCTAATATACTATAATCTCGTATAACTCAATATGACCATCGTCGACCACTATTGATTTGAACCACCGCCGACCACCACCGTTCTGAACTACCACCTATCTGAACCACCGCCGACCACCACCAGAGTCGACTATCACCGATCTGAACCACCGCCGACTACCATTGATCTGAACCACTACCGACTACCACCGATCTGAACCACCGCCAATCTGAGCCACCACTGATCTGAGTCATCGTCAATCTAAATCACCGCCGATAACCACCATTTGAACCACTATGGACCCCCACCGATCTAAACTACGCGGACCACCTCCACCGACTACCACCGATCTGAACCATCGTCGACCACCGCCGACTACCACTGATCTGAACCACCATCGACCACCACCACCGACTACCACCGATCTGAAATACCGTCGACCACCACCACCGACTACCACCGATCTGAATCACCATCGACCACCACCACCGATCTGAAATACCGTCGACCACCACCACCGACTACCACCGATCTGAGCCACCACTGATCTGATTTACCATTAATCTAAACCTCCGACTATAACCGCCATTTGAACCACCATGGACCACAACCGATCTGAACCACTATCGACCATCGTCATCTGAACCACCACGGACCACCATCGATCTAAACCACTGCCAACTACTACCAATCTAAAGCACCGTCGATCTAAACCACCATTGACCATCATCGATATGATCCATCGCCGATCTAAACCACATCTGACCATCGTCGCCTGAACCACAATGGACCACCACTGACCACCTCCATCTAAACCACTGCGGACCACCATCGATCTGAATCACTGCGGACCACCACCATCTGAACCACTGTGGACCACCACCAATTTGAACCACCGTCAATTTAGTAACGTCGTTTGGCTTTATGATTATATTTAGGTTGTGTATTTTATATTGTTTTACATATTAAATAATTATTTTATTGAAGTATTTTTAGTTTTAAAAAAATTAAAATTTTCAAAAAAAGGCATTTGGTAATTTACCAAAATCTTATTCCAATTCTAAAGCTACATTCTGTGAACCAAACAGAAAGATTTTAATTCCTTAACAGATTTCATTCCAAAGTCTGCCAACCAAACAGGTGGTCAAACCTGACAACATTCCATTCCAATTCCTTCAAAGTCAAATTCCTTTAACAGATTCCATTTCATCTAAAAACATTCTGCGAACCAAACGCCATCTAAGGGGTTTGTTTACCTCTTAATAGTTCTATTAAGAAGCAACTTCTGAATCGTTAAGAGGTAAATCTTGTTTAGCAAAAAAAAAAGTTTGCCTATTAATAATTCTAAAACCCTCTGAATGATTTTATATCATGGATCTCCCTTAACCATTAAGAATCTTAACCATTAAGTGCCTTAATTTCATTGTACACATCCCTAAGTTAAAATATTCCAAATACTTGTATTCAGTTATAAGGCATATATATTTTCCTTTATAAGAGTATATGATACGACCAATAATAATCTACACACTTTCTACCGGGTGCCCTTTTAGTTTTTCTTTTTCTTAATGACACTATGTATAAGCAATTTATGCCAAACCATACAAGTTTATTCTACTCTTTAGCTTCAAACATCTTACGCGGTGGAATACAATGGGTTCGGATTAGCACCGATTATTTCATTTCTTGGGAGTTTCGGGTTTAATACGTTCAATAACTTAAAAATTACTGGGTACCAGAACTCACCAAAGTTAGGGTTCATGTCTACATGACTCTTTTTCACCAAGAGGGACAGCAGCAGTCAAATGGCCAAAGAGAATCTGTTCAGACCTCAACATCCCCATAGAAAAGAGAGAAACATATGATAACAAACAGCAAGAAAAATTTCACAAGAAAAAAGCCTCCAAATTAACAAAATTTCACTCTATAGGATCAAATTACTAATACATCCCATCCATGCCCCAAAAGATTCATCAAGTTCATAATAACAGAAAATTAAATTTGAGACACTCTAATGCCACATGGGGATCGAATCAAATATATCAAGAGACTAAGGCATTCAATTTGTGTTTTTCAGTTGTCCCCTGGGAGAGTCTTGATGATATCAGAGTCACCTACGACAACAAGAATATCAACGAGTCACTAGGCATGTAACAACGTAATTCATCATGTAACAAGAAAACAACACAATTCATGATTACCAGGATCAACGATACTGAGGCATGATACTCTGAAATATTTTCCACATGCCGTCCCCAGATCGACATTGTCTGATCATAGATGAAGCAAATAGTCAGCATGAGGAGCACAAAAGAACATCAATAACCTCTCATTTGGTTCATACAATGTGAAACATACAAAAACACAAGCAACTAGATCTGGATTAAGCATAGGTTCTAAAACAAAGTCTAAAACAAGTCAAAGTCTGTGTCGAGTGTTGAATATATGTGTTCACACAGCATTTGAGCAGAACCGAGATCATAGGAGTCAACCTGAAATGTTTAGATTTCTTTTCTACTAGCCATACGGTATTATGTCAAGTAAAATAAAACAAAACTCCCAGGCCATATTATCAGACGAAAATCTGAACGTTCAAAAATCATGAGATATCGTCCATCCATCACAAAAAAATCCACAAAGAAAAATTACAAAGTGCCACTTTCAAATGATTGGAGTACACTTGTAAAAACCCTTTTTTATTTGGTGTGTAATCATAATAAGATTTGATATCGAATCAAACAAATTTCAAAACCCCTTATACATACATACAAGTCTCCCACTACTAAAATGAGGAACCTTGAAACCTTAATAGTAAATAGCGTGAATTCAGTACATACTTGATCAAGTAAAGATTGACAAGAGTACTTTAGCAGCTCATCTTTAACATAATGAATTTCCTACATTAATAAAAACTCACTTCCCAACCAATTGTTAACATAAAACATGTATTCAATCGACTCAGCACATAGTGTGGTCTCAACCAAAACAATCATGCCACTGATAATAAATAACTTTGACAGTTGTCTACATCATAAGACATGAAACTTTTGGACAATAAGTGAAGAACCTGAATGGATACAAGGAATGAAGGAACTTGAACCATATATTTTGAATTGGTATTCAGAAGAAAAAAAAACAATTTGACCATGCAGAAAATGAACTAGTACACCAATATCACACTATGCGGAAGCCTTTAACAGTCCTTAAGGTTGTGTTTGGTACACAGACTGGATAGAACAGAAGAGGACGAGATAGGACTAATTGTTTGTCCTATGTTTGGTAGGCCTAGAACAGGACAGGACAGGACAATGCTGTTAAAATGACCATATTATCCCTAAATGTTGTTCAATGTTATCATATATCATATAATGATTGTAAATGACAACAAATCAACCAAAAATATATTTAAATTATCTAATCTATGATATCAATACTTTTTTAACATTTCAAGACCACATGTAAATAACATTTGTCATACCATAAATTCTAAATATGCACATAATTTAAAAAGTTTAAACACAACAATTGTAAATAACATTTGTCATGCCATCGTCAAAAGTTTAACATTTCAAGAATGGAGGTTGTGGAAGAGAAGAAAGAGGATTCAATTAAATTAGGTTTGTATTTTGATATCAAATAACAAAGGCAATATTGTAATCTCAAAATTAGTCCCATGTTGTTCTACCTTTTTTGGTGGAACAAAAAAACTCAAGAATATTCCCACCCAATCTTACTTTTGTCCCATGGCACACGAAACATATGGCACATGGGACTATTTATTTTTGTCACGTCTGCATACCGAACGCACCCTAAAAGATTTTATTTATATTTCTTGCACCATCGTTTGCTTGTAGTTCTGTCAATAATAACGAAAAACATAAACACAAAGTAATGTCAACAAACTTCTCCTACAAGCATCTAATACACGTCTTTGTCCAATTCTTTTTCATTAATTCACTCCCATCATCAACAATGTATGATAATCATTCTTGTATACGCTCATTAAATCCTATGAGATTATCCTTCTGTTACAATTTCTGGTGTTGTAAAGAAACGCTTGATCGTTAATTCCAGTAATATCATTGGCCATGTATCCACATTAGGAGGTCAAATCCGACGAATCAAGCTAGTCCCAAAGATTAAGTAACCCATACAAAGAGCATAAATCCCACATAGCCGTAACCCAATGGCTAAACAATATAAAGACAAATAAAAATGATATGAAGGGCCAATTGGTGCACTTACTTCCGTTATAATGATGAACCCCAACTTTAGCAAGCATGGCATAGTACTCGATCTCAGACTTTCTCAAAGGTGGGCAATTGTTGGAAATTATAATCAACTTACCTACAGTTGGCATGGCATCAAAATTAATGTCAGTTTCACATTCCAAACAATACGATTCGGGCTTCTTTCAGAGAGTGGTGTATGTTCAGAATAAATATGGTTCCATAGGATGAAACATCTAACCAGATATTACTCTTTCATTACCTTTGGAGCCCCTGAGAGACTCAAGCACGGTTTTGTAACCAAGAGTGTACTTTCCACTCTTCATCACGAGAGCCAGCCGATTGTTGATGCTCTCATGAGTCTTCTTCTGTAAATTTTGAAAAAAAAAACAAAATGAAGTAAATACAGGCAATGATCTATGATAGAGAGGCAAAAACAAGTGCAGATGTGTGTATATCTAACCGTCTTCTTTCCTGACACCATGGTTGCTAAGAAGCGAAGAGAATCAAAGGATGGAGAGTAGTTTCGTTGAGAGAATTAGGGTTTGGCGAGCTGCGCAGTGAGGGGTTGGATATTTAAATGACGGATGAGCTGATAATTGGGCCCTGACTTATAACGCTTGGGCCTTTCTTGGCCCTAACTCTTATGTTAGTAATAGTAACTTACCCGTATAATACGGTGGTAGCCGTGAATTTTAACGATTTTAAAGTTTCACTAGTTTTATTAGAGAAGATTTAACGATGATATAAATTACATTTGGTTTTTATATATTAATAAAATTTGAATAAATAAGAGTTATGGTTCCAATTACAGTTTATCGTTGAAAAAATTGTATGACAGTTTAAAATCCAATATATTTAAAATCTAACATATTTAAACGACTCCACAAATGTATTCGATTTACACCAAGAGCAAAGAATCAAGAGGGTGGTGTCTGTTTGGTTTGAGCTTGTCTCCAAAGGACAAAAATACCAGGAGATCTCAGGTTCAAATCCGATGATGAATAAAAATCCCCTTGTGACCATGGATGTTGAAATGCGGTGACTCTGGGCTATCTGCAAAATAGGTGGTCACCCTGAGATTAGTCGGCTCGCATAGCGGGTTGGATATCCAGATTAATAAAACAAAAAGAATCAAGAGATCGAGACCGAGACCGAGACCGAGAGTTCTAGAGTAATTGAATATGAGATGAATGAGAAAACTTTTAATAACTCATGGTGAATATTAGTTTGAATCTCACCTTGGGGGATGAGAAGAAGACATAGAGGTATGAGAGGGTGAAGGCATGAGTTAAAAGTTTCAAAAGTGTCTTACAAATATGAAAAGAAAAGGTAATAATATGCATTGGTAACTTATACTATATGTTATTTTGATTGTAGATGAAAAGATTTTAAGACTGAATGTATAAAGTAGTAGTACTTGATGTATTATGAGTTGTTTTTAAGACTTTATGTATAAATTTATAGTACTTTGTACATTAAAAATTATTTTTAAGATTTTTGATAAATTAGTTTATAAAATAGTATACATATAAAATGCATGATGCATTTTTAGAGCTTTGTTGTTTTCCTTTTAGTTATCACAATGTAAATAAGTTTGATTTAGAGTAAACTACAAATTTGACCCTTGTAGTTTGTAAAATAACACTTGTTTAAATGTTCGTCGTTGTTTGCAAAAAAAGTCCGTGAAAAGAATTCCATTAAATGAGGAACGTTTTCATTTTATTGATTATTTTTGTCTTTTACTCGATCAAAAACCACAGAGAACAAAATCAAGAAACCGATTCTGGTTGGGTAAAAGACTAAAAATTGAAAATATACTTCATTTAATAGAATCTTTTAACAACCGTTAGAAAGAGGGACCCGATTCAAATGGTTTTACTAACTACGATGACCATCTCGACAACACCACGAGGACTAAATTTGTAGTTTAGCCTTTGATTTGTTTGATGGAGCAAATAATATTTTCTTAAAGTTTTAAAATTATTTAATTTTTATCCATTTTGATTGGTAACCTGTTGATCTTGTAATAATTAATGACGTAGATATCAATTTTACATGATCATTTCACAAACATTTGTAAACATATATTTACGTTACTAGAATGGTACTCGTGCAATGCAGCGAGATACATCTTGATTTTAGTATTTCATTTTATTCTGTTTCAAGGTCGAATATTGGATAGAATATAATTCTTCTTTCTTTTCTGATTTTGAATGATTATGTGATTTTGAGAACGTTGATGTTTTTATTTTTGAATAAAATATAATTTTGAAGATATCATAAAAATTTGACAAAAATATATCGATATTAGTATCAAATTAATTATTTAAAATTCCTTATTTTTTGTGTAATTTTATAATTTAATTTTTTTATAATTTAATTTAGATACAATAATGAAGTAATTTATATTTGGTTTAATAATATAATTTTAATATAAAGTTAATAATTATTTATTTTGTTTGAACTCGATAATTATCCTAATTATATTTTAGATTTTTTAGATTTTAAAATGAGATGTTTATCCTCTATTTGATTATGTTTATCCGTAGTTAGTTATACGAATTCAAACATCGAGCTTTAATAAGTTGTACTTATCCATAATTTACTTGTAATCTTGAGTTTTAAGTAATATGCATCAATATACAGTACTTTATGCATAACAAAAATATATTGATATTCGTATCAAATTAACTATTTAAAATTCCTCATTTTTTTTGTAATTTTTTAATTCAAAATTTTTATTATAATTTAATTTAGGTACAATAACGAAATAATTTGTACTTAGTTTAATAATATAATTTTCTTATAAAGATAATAATTAATTATTTTGTTAGAACTCGATAATTATCCTAATTATATTTTAGATTTTTAGATTTTAAAATAAGATGTTTATCCTCTATTTGATTATGTTTATCCGCATATAGTTATACGAATTCAAACATCGAGTTTTAATAAGTTGTACTTTTGCATAATTTACTTGTAATCTTGAATTTTAAGTAAACATTGGTTTTATGTGGTTTTAAGAAAGTGATAATGTTTTTATTTTTGAATAAAATATAAATTTAAAAATATTATAAAATTTTGAAAAAAAAATATCGATATCAGTATTAAATTAATCTTTTTAAAAGTTTTTGTGTTTTGGTGTAATTTTCTTAATTAATTTTTTTTAATCATAATTTAATTTAGGTTTAGTAACAAATAAATTTAATTTAGGTTTAATAATATAATTTTTTATAAAGATAATAACTAAGTATTCTATTAGTTATCAATGATTATCCTAATTATATTTTAGATTTTTTATATTTAAAATGAGATGTTTATTCAATATTTGATTATGTATATCTGCAGTTAGTTAGACGAATTCAAGTATGGAACTTTAATAAGTTATATTTATGCACAATTTACTTGTAATCTTAAATTTTAAGTAATATACATCAATAAACAGTACTTCTTGCATAAAAAATCATTTTTAAAAGTTTTTGTCAAATGCTTTATAATATAGTATAGATAAATATTACAGGTTACTTGTAAAAATGGTTTAAAATAAAAAAAATTGGATTTTACAACATCAATGTACACCCTCACCTTTGCTTTTTCTTTTTCCTCTTCCTTGGAAGATAGTTGAAACCATGTATACATTGTGACATACAATTCAACAATTTTCAAACATGAATTAATTCAAAATAAACACTGCTTAGTTGTTGAATAAATAAGCCATTAAGTACAAAATCGAACAAAGCCTTTCGAGTGTTTGGGATTGCTTTAAAAAACAACTTATTGATTTATTCCGGTGTGGCACCGGTAATAAACATTTTTGAGTGTTTGGATAAACAACTTATATCGGTGTCAAAGCGATAACAAGTTTTTGAATAAGTTAAACTCTTCTGACTTATAATAAGTTGATAAATGCTTTTGTAGAAAAACATAAATTGTTTCAAATAAGCAATCCGAAACACCCCCTAAAAACAATAAAATAAAAATTATGATGTGGTAAATTAACCTTTATCATTATTTGTTTCATTTAACATGACAAATAGAAATTTATCTTGGCTGGGAACTTAAAGACAAAGAAAGCAGTAGCAAAACTTTATAAATCCATTTATGAAAATTATGGTTACATTGCAATGTTGTTTATGGGATCTAGCACACCTACAAGCGCTAAAAAGAATAACAACAGATAAGCAGTGCTATCATTTTTCCTCAAACTCCACATCTATAATATCTGGTTCGGACTTTGAAGAGGAAGAAGAACGGTTCCCGCCTTTTGAAAAGAAGTCTCCTCCTTTTGGCTGCCACACAACGTTTCCACACCCACCACATCGCACCGTCTGGTTCTTGTATCCAACAAACTGCCTCTTACAAGCAGGACATGCACCCTGTTCCATTCATTAACACCAACTACACTCATGTAACATAAAATTTGCAAGTTTTACATCAAGATTGAGATTTCTTTTAGTTTTTCCTCCTTTTCATGTCTGTCTTAGTTTTTTCCTGTTGTTCAGTTAAGAGAAACAATCTCTCTACCCTTTGGGTAAAGGCAACATCTGCATACATCCTACCCCTACCCCTACCCCCCCCCCCACCCCGATCCTACCTCTATATGGGTTCGTTTGGTTTGGTTTTATCATTAGATTAAAAAACAGAGTGCTACATTGGTTCCTGTAATTGCAACAGACTTGAAGTCTTACGAAACCAAGATTCCACAATCTTCCAAAAAGCAACCAAAGTAATTATCCTCCCTTTTAATAAGGAATTTTAAAGGTTCACAATAGTTGGAATGATTAGATTTTGTGGAAATTTGCAGCCTAATTTCTGAATTTAAAGGATTATCAACCATGAAGGAATGGTCAATTGACACCTCCAGCAGCAAGACTGGAAAAGAACATAGATAGCATGTTGTCAACTTTAGGTAGCTATGTTCATCTATTCCCATTGGAAAAACTTCTAGTCATCTGTAATACTAATACCCTTTGGTCAAAAATGGGTTTCACAGCTAGAGATTTAGGTACAAATTTGTCATAATAAGATGGACTGATGAGTAAGAAGCCTTTTCCTACATATGCACATGAAGAAAGAGAGAGAGAGAGAGAGAGAAGACTCGAGAGTTTACACTGTTGTGACTTATTCCACTACTTCCATTGTTCAAATTCAGTGTTCCATTAGCAATACACTGAATAATGCACATACTATTATCTAGATACAGATCAGTTTAGGTCGATAAAATGACATAGATCATCACTATTGTTAACAATGACTCATCATTGCAACTTTGCCACAAAGAGTAACCTGGTAATATAACGTATTATCTAAAACCAGTACCAGTTTTAGAAGGATGAACCACAAATAGATAGCTAAGGAGTTACCTTAATGACCAGATTATTGGCAACAGCGCCAATAAGTAGAGGGCCAGCAAATGGCAGTACCCATGTTGCAAATATCAGAACCCTGAACAGCCATCCAGAAAGTGCAAACCATAGGAAGAAGATAGTCTACAAAAACAAGTAACTATTAGTGATTTCAAGTAGACAAAACAATCTGTGGGCAAAAACCTTACTGATTACACATGCTGGAAGACACATAAAGAATCTAATTAACACAATGTACATCTAATGCAGATTGCCTATGCTGCACAAAGTACAAACTTTGCCAGCTTTATTGAGAAAAAGAGAGATCAAAAACCACATAAGCTTTCAACATCACTGTGTAACTTTGAAAACCGTATGCACAGCAATGTAGATCTTTCAAATAATGTGTAACATAGAAAAACATGGTTTCTGGCAGCTGCACAATTTAGTCATACCAAAAGTCATCAGCAAATTACGTGGCATTAACAGAGTAGGAGTGTAGGATGCACCAGTAACTCTGTTTCACAGGAAGCTACATAGAACTGTAAGGGCCGCTCATCTTCAAAATTTAAAGAAAACACCTGATGACTTAGGCAACCTTCTAGAACTCTGCTCAAATCAGCTGACCTCTAGTGATAGTTTTAAGGTTTACAACATCGCCATTAGCTTTCAAAGCTTTACAAATTACAACAGTCATTAGCCTGCAAGGCTATCCTAAAATTAAGGAAAAAGGCAAACATGAGTTCAAATACCTTCAAGATACTCGAGAAAGGTTCAGAATGGCCATGGAGGTAAATAGACAAGACGGAATTCAACAAATACAGTGGCTATTTATGGCTCACAGCAAAGAAACACATGCAGATAAAGCAGGATCCGAATCCTAAAGATGCAAGAACTGATTCAAAAATAAAAACTCCAAACATGAGGATTATCCTTTTATCTTGGCAGAATGCTTCAGCATGAGAGGGTGTTTGTTTACCTCTTAATAGTTCCATTAAGAGGCAGTCTCTGAATTGCAAAGAGGTGAATCTTGTTTGGCAGGAAAAAGGTCTTGCCTCTCAATGGTTCTAAAACCTTCTGAATGATTTTGTATCTTTTGTCTCCCTTAACCATTTAGCACCCTAATTTCATTTTGAATCATTACCAAACAATTATATTTCATTTTGCACTATATTATAAGAGCCTTTTAATCATTCTGCACCAAACCATTCAGCAACTGCCAAACAGCCCCTCAAGTAAGCGCAGACATACATGGTGCACTAGGTATGCCTGTGCATATGCCGAACGAAAATAATAATGCAAAAGATTTAAAAGTATAAATTTGTTAATCTAGCTCATCATCTAAGAAAATTGTTATGGTAGTGTATACCCTGATCACAGATCTAGAATCTACCAGGATCTCCTCTGATTCTTGTGAGCTAAGATTATCATGATAATATATTCATTTACGCCTTTTGGAGATTGCTTCATAGGTCTCAAACTGAGAGTCCAAAACAATTTGTTGCAGGGGTATCTTAGCTTGCACAATTATCCTCTTAACTACTATTGGTGGTATAAAGAATGGGAATTCGAGAAGAAAAAAGCATTGAGCACTAAGATTTTAATGTTGAAACCTTATGGAAAAAAAACAATGGGAAAATAAATACTCTGACCATCAAAAGAAATGTGAATAGTATTATTCACTGAAAAGATGAGAAGAAGAAGAAGAAGAAGAAGAAGAAAATTTCATTATGAAGAGTCTGGAGATTGTAAGGATGTACAGAAAAGTCAATCAATACCCTAGTGAACCTGATCCTCTAAAAAAGACCAAAAAGTAAATCGCACATAAACCTGAAATCGTAAAGTTCATGCAAAGATATATACATACATACATACATACATACATACATACATACATACATATATACATACATACATATATACATACATACATACATACATATATATACATATATATATATATATAGTGTGTGTGTGTATGTGTATGTGTATGTATAGCTGGAAAGATCAGAGCTCTCCATCAACACAAGGAAACCTTGTCTTTTCTTCTTTAAGGTTGCCACCGGATCCATTTATGCTCTCTAGATAGTGGTATGAATCCTTAACTTGAATTTGAGACGCATTTAACAATTAGTGCCCTGCAGTGTTTGGCTAATGAGTGCAATCTGACATGCTGCCTAGAAATGATAGGTTCTTATGCAAAATTCTATTATCAATCGTGCAATACTATTATCAAAATTCTCTAGCAATAGGAATTTTAAACTTCACGGAGCTGTAGAGGTTAACATGTGATCTGACCCTATCATTTAACTTATAACCCATACTATACAAGTAGGAATAATTTCATGTGCTATTACAGGTAAAAAAAAAAAAAAGTAAGAATGGTTTATACCCACAAAAGAAGAACACAAAGTAAAGCAATACTTACCCCAAAACTTCTTCCTAACGGAGTATTCAAGAAGTCGCTAAATTGCTTCCTGTACTGCAAGGGAGTAAATTGCAGGTTATTGGCAGGCTGAAATGTAAATAGCATAACGAAGCAAAAATTCGTAATGAAGTAAAAAGCATGACTACAAAAATTCACTTGGGAAACAACATGTTCTATAACATGAATTGTCGATAAGAACGTGCCTCTTGGAGAAAATTAATGGCCTGGTGACTCTGTTCTGATGCCAATTTCTTAATCCTATACAAATTTACGATCTAAAGAATATGCGAGAGAAGTGTGTTTGGATAAATGGTATAACTAGAAGTGATAGAGAGAGGAAGGAGGACAAACCCTGGGCCAATTTCGACTGAAATCGAGAGTAAAAGTCCGCCATCGCTGCGTAATCAGAAAATCACGGTCAAGTTCCCTGGCACGGTCAGATGCGGAATTTGCGACGGAGGATAGTCGGCGACCAACAGAATAACGGCGGTCGATGCGCTCGGCGGTCTTCTTGGTCTCATAAAGAAGCTGCTCAAAACCATTATTAGCGCTACGCCAAGCATCTCTCCAGGCTTCTCCTGAGGCCATTCTCTTTGCGAATCCATCAAAATCGCTACGCCTAAACGCTTGTACTCTAATTGAATTTGGGAGCGGCGAATTGGAAAACCGTTTGTTGGTGGAAGGATGAAAACGTTGGGTTTTTGAGGACAGCAGAGGGTGCCATGGGAGGCTTGTCGTCATGCCTAACTGAAGAAGCGATTTCCAAGGGTTTAGTTGAAGATTGAGGGTTTCAGCGTAAACTCCGATCGACGGTTTGGTTGCCGATGTTGAGTGTTTTGTGGCTAACGATTGATCGGTGATGTATCTGAAGGAACTTCCTCCACCTGGCCTCCTCGCTCACGTATCTAATTTCTTTAATTTATTTCTCACTTATTCAACTAGTTAAAAGTTTGTAGAAGTTGAGAGCTAACTTTAGAATCATACGTTAATTTAAGTTCTTTAATTATGTTTGTTGTAATGTATTTTATAAATGTTTGACTAATATTAGTAGTTTATTTAACTTGAAATCATATTTTTAATTGAAATCTTATCTAAAGTCACAAAGCCACGATTTTAATTTTTATAACAAATTTAACTGAAATCTCATTTGAAGTTATGAAAAAAAAAAAACATTCTATAATATTAGTGAAAACTTGACTGGTGCGTAATTTGTAGCAACAATAGTGAAAGATCAAGACGATGCATAAAGAACCACATTACCAAATTAAGATAATGGATGTTCCCCTATAAAACAATAAAATTAATATCAAGTGGGGTCGATGACCCGTATATCAGATATTAAACTGATAAAAACAAATACTACACTTTACCGTAACAGTCTATAATATTTGAATTGTAAATTAGAGAGGTCCGTCAAGTCTTAATAGTAGTAACACCAAGACGACAGATAAATAACTACATCACCAAGTAGTATAATGAGCGTTCTCATATAAAAAAATAAAATATCAAGTAAGCTGAAAACCCATATATTAGATATCAAACTAAGAACATATAATATACGTGATCTAAACAAAAAAACCTAAGATTCATGACAGATGACCAAAGGGTCTTTGGCCTAGCGGTATCGTAGCCCTTGGCCTTCTAGGAGGTTGGGGGTTCAAATCTCACCATATGTGAGAAGAGTGTGTGGGTTTATTTGTTGCATTTGCCGTATATAAATATTATATACTTCAAAAAAAAAAATTCATGACAGATGTATAAACTAAAAACATGTACTATATTTGATCTTAAGCAAAAATTCGAGATTCAAGAAAAATTTGTTTATTCCATTTTTAGTCATTTCTTTTTGTAGCAATTTCCTTCTTGTCACTTTCATTCCATCATCTAATGTAGGATGCAAACAATATTGAGAAAAAAATTGGGTCTTTTCTTTTTATATTCACCTCCTACATGTCTCTTTCATTATTTGATCCAATGTGGGATGCCTCTTTCAGACACTTGTTGCACAACAACCCTCAAACCTAAATGCTTGTATTGAACAGTTGAACACTTTTGACCTTTATATAAGGAGTCCTCTTTGTAATGCAACCATTGACATTTTTGGCCACTCACCATTATTAAATAAGATATGGTTACGGATCCCTTCGAATGCTGATATAGTAACACAATGGATTTCGAGGACGGCAAGAAGATTGGGATTCATAGAGCAGTTTTTGGAATTTAAACAAGTTGTTATTTGGTTACGTGTTATGTATTTTAACATGTTATTTGCTTACGTGTTTGATATTTAACTATGTACAACAAGCTTTTAGAAGTTGAATGAGTAGTTATTTGGTAATGTGTTTGAATTTGAACAAGCTTTTATTTGTAATTTTATTTATGTTTTTAACAGGTTTATCATGGATAATAATAATAAAAACTATACTCCTCATTTTTCATATTCTTGTATATGTTCTACTTGACCTTTATAAAAGGAAAAGAGATAATATGTCTGCAATAATTGGACGTCAATTTAGGGATTAGCTACTTAAAGATATTGATCGACAATGTATTGATTTGTTAAAAATGTCTCGTGATGCTTTCTTTCGCCTGTGTGATCATTTTAAAGGAAATGGTTGGTTAACAATAGCAAACGTATATTGGTCGAAGAAAAGTTGACTACCTTCCTGATGATTATAGGTCGCTATCAACGTTATAAGAGATGATGGCAAAAATGAGGCTAAAGAGGTTCAATCGCATGGGAATGCCGCTGACCAAACATATGTGGCTAGTTTAAGAGAAGAAATTGTGATACAATTAATGCAAATGAATATTGATTTTAGTTGTAATGAGACTTTGTTCATGTTTTCTATTGGAATCAATTGACTTATTTCAGTTAAATTTTTGAATTTGTTAAAAATAGATGGTAATTTACAATGATTTGAATGGTTGGGTATTTCAGTTGAATTTAATTAAAAAGAATTGATTAAGATTTCAGACTTCAAATGTTTGTCAGTTTACAAAAACAAACAGTCTTATTGATTCAGATTTTAGACTTCAGTCGTAAAAACAAATAGTCTTACCGATTCAGATTTCAAACTTCAGCAACACCTCTTATAATTCAGAAGTGAAATCAGAATTCAAACTTTCACACCTCTTGAAAAACAAACACCACCTAACAATTCCATCAGACCACCATTTGAAATAACCTTCTCTTTTTTTTTTTTTTTTTTGTGAGCTTATCTAGCTGAGCAATTATAGAGGAATGAGTCCTTGGCTCACGCACAACCCCACCTCAGAATTGAGCTTCTTGCTGAGTTTAGTTGCAGACCCAAACTCATTGTCAGATTGCTTTTAGGGACCGTTTACCAAATACTTATCCGGTAAGCGCTTATCAATAAAATTAACACTACCACTTATTTACAGGGTAAAACTTTAAGTCCACCAAAACGGCATTGTATGCAACAATTTATCCGGTAAGCGCTTACCATGGTAAGAAACGTCGCCCTCACTTACCAGGTAAAACTCTTGGTCTTTGTCTCCCTCTTACCAGGTAAGATTCTTGGTCCTTATTATATTCATCAGGTAAGGTAATGTGGCTTGGTAAACGCTTACCCAGATAAGTATTTGGTAAACGGCCCCTTAGTAAAAAAACGGTTTGGTTTGATTTGATTCGACTAGTTTAAGCAGTCCAAAAATCTTTTTAAACATTAAAACGCTATATTTTCCAATTTTTTAGTGTAAAAATGGTGACAAGATTAAATTCTTTACAATGTATTACCTTATTTTTTACAACAAAAAATTGATATTTGAAGTATATTATAATTTATTAAATTACATCTATTTCCCCCCTTTATTATTAACTTTATAAATCATATTCATATGTTTTATATTTTCAAAATAACATGACCATCATACAATTGTAACTAAGGGGCCGTTTACCTAAACATTTACCTGGTAAGCACTTACCGGTAAAATTTAACACTATGGTTTATTTATCGGGTAAGATTTGAGTCCACCAAAACGACATTGTATGTAATAATTTACCCGGTAAGCGCTAACCGTGGTAAAAGTAGTCGTCATCACTTATCGGATAAGACTCTCGGTCCTTGCCTTCGTTCTTACCGAGTAAGATTCTTGGTCATTGTCATATTCATCTGATAAGATAATGTGATTTGGTAAGATTTTCGTAAACGGCCCCTAAATAATAAAATTCATAGATACTTTCAAAATAAATACAATGCATTTTAGTTAAATTGTTATTATGTTATAAAATGTTTAAAATTAATACTTTAAAAAACTTAGTGGAATTATTAAAACTTAAAACCTACTATACTCTTAATTAATTAAAATATTAATGAAATAAAAAACACAAATATTTAAGTATACAGTATTAAGGGAATTTGTCAGAATTGGAATAAAATTTAATCATATTTGAATCAGAGTTGTCCACGGACAGGATGATTTGATAGATCCGTCATGTCCGGCCCGTTAGAAAAGCGGGATTGGATTACCATTCTCGAATAACGGACGAGTCTAGACTGACTTGTTAAAATTAACGGACGGACATAAGCAATGGAAAAAATAAATATTTGGGCAGGCCCGTCAGACCTATTAATATTTTTATAATAATTAACTTTTATAATTAAAATTTACAAATAAAAATTGACGATTTTTAATACTTATCGATTCCTACTTAATTATGACTCATGATAATAACATTCTTTAAAAATCTTAAATTTGAAAATATAATTACCTCAAATAATCAATTCTTTATTATCTCATTTAGTCATTTTCTTTATTGATACGTCATATTTAGCGAAACAATTTATTTTTAAAAAATGTATATTTGTTATGTATTTATATCAAATTTTAAGTTGAGAAATTTGTTATGTATTCTGAATTATTGTACATAACTTTTGATTTTATATAAGTTTTATTTTCATAAAAAATATAACACAATTTTTATGTTCATCCTTATCCTGTGAGCAAGCCCAACTCGTTTATAGGGTGAGTAAGGTAAGTTTTCAAGCCCATAAAAAGGGGCTTAGTTTTACTATATCAGGCCCGTTGGACAAAAAAATAGGTTAAGTCTGGCTCGGATCTGGCCCAAGCCTGCAAAAGATCAACTATAGTTTAAATATACATTTGATTGGTAGAAATTGGAATGAAACCTAACGACAAAATTTGAATGTATTTATTTGGTGGTTGAACGAACCAAACACCGTCTTACTGTTTTATCAAATTTGACATTTTAATTGTTTATAACATTAAATAATAATACTAATTAATACGATTTGAAGGGAAAAATACCTATGCCATTGAAATCGATGCGAACAATTGTGATGGCAAAAAGCAGTTGATCCAAAAATCCAAAGTTCTCAGACAGTTCACAGCAAGTATCGCGTGGAAATGGTGGCAACGGTTAAAAAGCATTGGCATCTTTCGATTCCTCCAACACCTTTTCTTATGCTTTCCTAAATTCGACGATGTGATGCTTTCATTTCCCGTTCTTTTTGGTCAATCGATGCTTTCAACATAAACTCAAGAGGATTTTTCACGATCGAGAAGGAGTAGGTGGCGATGGAGGAGAAAGATATTGATTACATACTGGTGCCTCTGGGTTTAGGGATTATGATTATGTACCATATTTGGCTTGTTTACACCCTTCTAACAAACCCCAGACGAACCGTGATGGGCCTCAATGCCGAAAGTCGACATCAATGGGTCTTCTCTATGATGGCTGTTAGTCTTCTTCCCTTCCACTTTTACGTAATTGTTTACAACATCTTCAAAGCAGATATCCAAAATACAGAAATTGGAGATTTTTCGAGTCATTTACATAAATGACCTTAATTAAATTGATGAAAGCAACATATTAAGGTCATATACTTAAAAACAACAGATTCTCCAAAACCAAACTGAGAAATGATAAAATTTCTGAATTTTAGAAAGTTTTCAAAAATTAAATGCTGAAAAGAGAGATGGTTATTTTTTAATGTGTTAACATTTTTTTTATATGTAGTTTATTTCATAGGAATATTAAATCTATTGAAACTATAATAATAATACAAGTTTTTTTTGGTAAAGTTGGTCTGCACGACCTTTCTCCCACCCTAGACTCGGATTTGAATCTTGTATGTGTCATTTTACTCGGGTAAATGCTTATCAGGTAAATTGTTGTATAAGATACGTTTTGATGTACTACAATCTTACCCAATAAAATAAATTATAGTATTGACTTTTAACGTTAAGTACTTACCGGGTAAGCATTTAGGTAAACGGGACCCTAAATTTCATTTTTTTAGAGATTGTTTTACACCCAAGTTGAATTATCACATTATATTGTGAAATGGATTTCCACTAACTCAAAGAAAGTGTTCCTTTTGTTTAAACAAGGAAATAGGGAAAGACGTAGGTATTTATTTTTGATTTTTTTTTTGTGGGAATTTTTGGAATATGAGGTTAAAGGTTTATAACATATGGTACATTTGAAAAGAAACTTGTTTTAATCTTGGGACACATTTTTGGATAATTTTGAATGTGAAAGTGGACAGGTTTGACCTCGGGAGTCAAATTAGATTTTCTCGATAAATTTGTCTGTAAAAGAACGTAGAACGATGGTTTGAGGGAGGCAAAAAAGAAGAAGGTTTTGGATTATTTATGGGGTATTTTTGGTATTAATTTGTTTGAGGTGGTTTCATGGGGATAAATGAGGGGTCGTGACTTATTCCATACGGTGAAAATGAGAGTTAAGATAAGAAGCGTAGGAAGGGATCTCCACCTTTGGATGTACATTAGGATGAGATGCACTATATCAGTCCTTGTATCAAGCGCGATTTAGGAGTGAGTTTGAGATTAAAGGTGATCAAGAGTCTAGAGCCCTTCTTACGTTTCTCACTTTAACTCTCCTTCTCACACGATCCTTTGCCTTTTACCTGAAGAACTGACGATTAAGCTGTAAAGAAACAACATCTAAACCATTAAGTTCATTAAGCTTCATTAAGCTTTAAGTAAACAATTCATAGAGATTGAAAAACACCTAGAGAGATTGATTTGCAGGATTGGCTGTTTGATTGTAGAATCTGAATTTCATAGTAATGTAGAAATAAATTTGTCCTTAAAAGATTTCTTTAGGTTCATCAGAAATTGCATGCTATGGTTGAACATGTCTTGTTAATTCAGATAACTCATAAAAGAACCCGAAATTGATATTGAGTTCTAAAAATGAAGTATTTTTTCACATAGCTTTAACAATTTGTACGTATACAGTAATTACTTGTAAACTTGAAATTTAAGGAGTTATGCTCTATTAAGTAGCACCTAATGCTTAACAAGTCGTTTACTAGAATGCTTTATAATACAGTATAGATCAATAATCTTTATCGACTCAACTCTCTCGTTACAGGACCCGCTAAAGAACGGTGTATTAGCAGTTCAAACAATTCGCAACAATATAATGGCATCCACTCTTCTGGCGACGACCGCTATTACTCTGAGCTCAATAATCAGCGTATTCGTGAGCAGCTTTTCGGACTCGAATCATGCAGCTTCACAGTTGGTTTACGGAAATAAAACGCCACTTTTATCTTCAGTTAAGTACTTTGCAATCCTGCTTTGTTTTTTGGTCGCGTTTCTTTGCAACGTCCAGTCGATTAGGTACTATGCCCATGTTAGTTTCTTGGCTACGGTTCCTACATTCATAGATAGAAGGGAACCCATAAATTATGTCGCTAGAAACTTGAATCGTGGAAGCCTGTTCTGGTCGATCGGACTGAGAGCGTTCTATTTTTCGTTTCCGCTTTTCTTGTGGATTTTTGGGCCGATACCCATGTTCGTTTGTTGCTGTATTATATCGTTTGTGCTTTATTTCTTGGATACGACAACTAGTTTCACTAGAAATCTTCATAGTTATTCTGTTAGAGAGAAGACCGAATCGAATGAAAATGTGGCAGTTTATCAGCAGGACTTGGAGGTTTAATTTGCTTCATGGTTTTCAGGCAGCTCATTTAGGTAAATGACCTTAATGAGTTTTTAATTAAATTCATGACCCCCTGGCTACATAAAAAAATGGGTTTATATTCATAAAGAAGGACATGGATTAAATAAAATCTCATTTAAGGTTATATACCTAAAAGAATCGTGTTCAGTCAGGACACGTGGACAGATGGCAAAAACGTTGTTCTCTACGATGGATTAGTTTTCAAGGTAGAAGTTAGGTTCTTGGGGACGTCCATTAGAAATCCGAGATACAATCTGTATTTGTAAAACATCAACATTTGTAATAACCTTATATGGTTAAAGTTTTGAAATGCAACCCTTTCAAATGCGATATTTGTATTTGATATAAACTCTTAGATACGATTGTTATTATTATTATGCATGGAGAATTATTAGTGTGACCAAACTATCCTTACTTTCCATTAAATTAAGTTAACTAGTGTTATACTTGTTCGTTGGTCGAATAGTAATATACTACATGACATTAAACATATTCTAAACATACCAGAAACAGACCTCAGACAAAGCGATGATTTATCAACCTGAACAAATCGATAATATGAGAAATATGAGCATAAATTTATGTGACAAAGGTTTTACCCTAACTCGATTAGCACCCCAAGTAATGCTCCTACTATCTCACAATGTGTATCTGACAGGCTAGGATCGTTCGTGTTCACCTAGTGGGCACAAAGTCTCCACAGTGGCGGTGCAAGTGCACGCCGACACTATGATCGTTTGCAAGTAATAAAGTGATAAAAAGTACCGAGATCGTTCCACAAGGAAGTGATTACTGAGATTCAGAGACTTTTCATGAAGGACTAAAATAAAAAAAATTGTAAACCATAGGGATGAAAAAGGTAATTAGTTATAAATTATAGGAATGAAAATTGTAATTTTAAAATAATAGACGAAAGTAAAATAATTCAACAAACCATAGGGACTAAAAACATAATTTACTCTTACATAAAAATTAATAATGATGGAAGCAAGGCTTCTTTGGACTCCCATCATTCTAGGGATTAGGTTTAGATATGGTAACACTGCAGCGATGGGGTGGATTTCGTAATCCCTGGCTTTGCTCTTGGTTTTTAGTAATAGCCCCTGACCTCGGATTCCTGCGAGTACCAGAATTAACATCGCCTCTTCAGTCAAATCCTGGTCAAACCTTATGAAAAATATATGTTAGTTTGAGTCTACCGGAATCCCCGACCCCGAGACCCATTTTAGAGGGGAATCCTCGTCTACGTTTGGGTCGGGTGAGTCGAGTTCCCCACTGGATCGCGACACATCACAATCCCTAATTGGGTTTTGACAAAAAAAGCAATTTTATCATTCAACCATATCAGTTTTTTTTTTTTTTGATAGACAACATGTCCAAAGTGCACAATATCTCTACGACATATTCTATTCACAACTTGATATCTCCTCCTACTTAAACCTATTAATTTTTCATACCGATAAAACACGGAAACAATGTAATTTATTTTCATTTTCATCCCTTTTACATAATTTTTAATTTTAACCTTTTAATATTTCTCTATTATTTTCCTTATCCACTTTATATTTTTTATTTTATTTTATACCCCTATTTTATCAATTAGTTAATAATGTGTTAACTAAAATACGTATTTTTAACGATATAAACTTAATTATCTTTGTAACGCTAAAAAAAAATTAAAAATAACATTTGTGATTATTAATTTATTAAAAACCATATTAAAGTAATTATATTTTAATATTAAAACAAATTAAAAATAATTTTTTTGATTATTAGTTCGATTATTCATTATTTTATAAAATAAAATAATATTCTAGACAACATCAATTATTTAAATCAATATATTCATTTTTATGATTAAAATCAAAAGATTTATAGAACAACCCTCTGTTCTAACACATTTTGACCATTTTAAACTTAGAATTACATTTTTAATTCTAAACACGAAATAAAATAGACATTTTTATCTTTCAGATTCCACTAACCTCATGTCCATTGGATTTTTCTTTGATTTTATACGAATTTTCTAAAACAGGACAAAAACATTGACTTTTATGTTTCAAAATTGGCTATTTTTAACAATCTTGTATCCAAACCATTTCCATTTGGAACCAAATTCAGATTTCTAACTCAAAATATCACAAACTTTATAAAAATAGCAAAACTGAATCCTTATTCATCAAAATCATCATTTTAGAGCTTGATTTTGAAAAGTCATGCAACATTATTTCAATTAATCCTTGAAAATAATCCATGTTTTTGGTCAAATAACAAGTAGTCTCATCATATTTCTACAAAAAAGTTCCATCATTCATTCTTTAGCTTAAACCCTAGTTGAATGAATCCGAATACATCAAGAAAAATCAAAATACCAACATTTATACCTTCAAATCTTTGAAATCTTTTAAATTTCTTTTCAGTTTCTTCAATATTTAGCTAGATTTTAGCTTTAGGTGTGTGAATTCGCACACACTTTGGTCTAGAAGCTTCTAGAAGTGAAAATAATGTGCAAAGATCTAATTTTCTCACTTTATTGTACAAACTCGTTTTGGGTCGGGTTTGACCCGGCTAGGTTGACACGCAAAAAGATTCATAACTTTTTGCACACGTGTTCATAACAAGATAATTTATTACTTTTAACAAATATATTCTAGAAAAGGCGTTTGGACTAAAATAGTACTAAATATTATGAAAGTTTAATTAAAAATAATTTTGGCTAAGGATGGAAAGTTCAGAGATTTGCACTACTAAATCGGCTAAGTCTGGAAGAGCAACCAGAGCCTCTGGTCTACAAGCATTCGGGACCAGAGCTCCTCTGGATGACCAGAGCTCCTCTGGACACTAAGATGGAAGATTCAGAGATCTGAACTGTGCTAAAGCGACTAAGTCTAAGTCTGAAAAGAGCAACCAGAGTCTCTGTGTCCACAAGCATTCAGGACCAGAGCTTCTGTGGATGACCAGAGTGCTTCTGGTTGAACTACACTCTGAAAGACATTCATCAGATCTCTGGAAAATAAGACTTTAGAGTTCTACAAGTCTGAAGAGACATTCTTTAGATCTATCAAAAAGAAGAATTCAGAGTTTTACAAGTCTGAAGAGACATACTTCATATCTCTAGAAAAAGAAGACTTCAGAGTTTTACAAGAGAACCCGACGAGCGCTAAGTGTCAAATCTGAATACGAAGTCTGAAGACCTTGAGTTCAGAGTTATTCTAACTCTGAACGAGAGGATGACGATGTTGACTCAGTAACAACCTATGAAACCCTTTATATTTCTTAAGGATTTTGCTACAAGTCCTCTATAGAGCATAATAATAACACATAATCTATCTTATTAAACACATAATACGCATTAGAACACATTTAAAGGCATTTGCCAAGCATATTAAAAAAAGAGTATGTTACACAACCCCTGGCCCAATCTCTCTCTATATATATATGATCTTTTATTTTTCATTGAGTAGCGGACTGTAAAAGGGGTTTAATTCTCTAATTGACGGTTTTTAAGTTGTATTTATTTGTCATTGAATTAGAATTGAAGTTATCGTTGCCAAAAATATTAACATGTTATAGATCGGGAGTTATTTGATTAAAACAAATTGGATTGTGTATATGTTTGCTTACAAACACACATATTGACTCTTTATTGCAGTGGGTATCATGAATTGATTATTGGGATAATACAATTATACTCGGATGTAAATATGTAGTAAAAATCGAGTTCTAATTACACACAAATTCAACATTTTATATATTTATATCGATAGATTGACAGTTTATTGATAACTGCACAATAGTTTACACAGTTCAAAGATGGATCAAAAGACAATCCAAGACCATAGCTTCTAGATGTGAACTCAATATTTGAATAAAAACTCAGAAGCTTCTGAGTTAGTCTCCAAAGACGTTCTGAACTAAGTTAAGAAGGGTACCGTTAGGGGCACTGCCCCCAGAACCACGCAAGAGGGCACAACCCCTTATTCATGCCTTTTGGTGATCTAAGGTGTTAAAGACAACATTTTGAATGTCCGCTCTACACCTCCTTACTCATGTTATACTTGCATTACCACTAATCGATCCCATTTTCCCATGCAAATCACAACTACACCATTTCCCACAATCCAATTGATTTCAAGAACGATTTGGTGATTTTTGCTTAAAATTTAGCCGTTAGGGTTTTTATTTTGTATTTTTGAGATTGAGCAACTTCATGATTGTCCAAATTTAGTAAGCAATCCGTTGACAGTCGTTGCTAAGATGTCGTCATCGGTTCTTTTTGCCTAGTCCGAAACCCTAAATTACTGCTCAAATTTACATTTTGTCGTCTCGCTTTAAATGTTACCTTACTGTCAAGAAACAATCGGGTATGAAAATATGTAATCTTACTCGGTTGTTGAACTACGTAAGATATACGTCTACAGTCAGGTACTGTATATTCTCATCTGGTTGGTCTTTTGGATAAGATTAGCAATTTCCACGGGGTATGTTTCACTATTATGTAGTAGTTCGTTTTTTATAATTAATTATTTGTTTGACAATTTTAAATTGTTAGATTCATTTTTTTTTTATACTCATTTACACTCACAAACATTTCAACTCAGTAAAACATAATTATTTCTAATTTTAATATTATAATTTACACCCTTATACTTATTTAATTAATCCATAACCCTTTACTTTTTTATTTTTTATTTTACATCATTATCATATTAACACACATAATAGTATATTAACTAAAATACGTGTTTTTAGCAAATTACCTTCAAAATGAGGTCAATATCAGATATTTTTGCATTTAATTATGTTATTTTATATCATAAATATCATTGAAATTATTTTTTAACACTTATATATTTTACCCTAATCCTTATTCCTTTAATTTATATTATAACTTTTACTTTTTCATTTTCGAACTTAACTAACATACATAATCATATATTAATTAAAATACATTAAAAAATATTTGTTTAACAAATCACACAATTATAACCATCTCATAAATACCTTTACAATGAGCTAAATATTAAATATTTTTTTTATTTAATCACTATTAAATATCATAAATACTACAAAATTATTTTTTTAATAATCACACATTGTATCTTTATACTACGAAATCATATGAAAATTGTATATTAACTGATAATTTTAAATAACTGTTACATATAATATGATTAAAAACAAAGTTTATCAATTGTATACATCTTAATTAACTAAAAGT